AATTGCTGTTTTCTACCCAGTCACAACTGCCCCTACAAAGCACTGATGTCACCACACCTTTTCTGTTATAAAATAACCACAGCCATCAGCATAATTCTCAGGGACGTCCAAAAAACCAATCGCGGCGCAGTATTTCGTAGCAAGTGTTTAATTCTAAATACTAATTAGCACAAAGGCATCTCTGAAATGAATGTCTGTTGCTAAGCCAACTCTCAGCAGTTGTGCAGTTTAAGCTCTCATTCCAGTAAGCTCAGCAGTAGCCTGAGGGAAAGGCAGGAGCTGTAACTAAAATTGTTTCAAGTTTTAGAAGGGACCTTTGAAGGCTGAGGGACAAGACTTTGATATATTTGAGAAAAGGTAATTGCAATGAACAATGATTTCCAGTTTTGTTTTAGCATACTGGTGAGGCATCCAATCTGTACAACCATCTATATTTTCCCAGATTCAATCAGATTATAAAATGTCTGCAGTCAGAAAGGGCTGTTGGTTATTACATCGTCCCTGGGGAAAGGAGTGTCTGGTAGAAGATTCTTACTTCATTTGGCTGCTGTTGACTCACCCAGCTGATGTTATTTGAATTTACACTAGAATTGAACCTGACATTGAAACAATGAAATGTTTGTTCATAAAAAAGGACAAAGATTATGTGGAAAACTTTGCTTTATGACAGTGAGACAAATACCTGTAAACTGAAATTGTGGCAGGAAACGTAGACTTCTTAGAGAAAAAAAAAAAAGACACTGAATTGGATCTTAAATCTTCTAGGCTTAATATTCTAAACAAAACCCCTGAGAATTTATTACTGCATTATTTTGCATATCTCAAACCAGCATTTCAGTGTCCCACAAATAGAGACTTTTCTTGGTATTGAATAGTTTTTTCTGTTTCTCGGTGACTCAGATTCCTTGTTTACCTCTACATCTCTCTAGCTGTCTCGGGACAGGAGGTTTCATTCCTGAGACTGCAAATATGTTTTCCTGCAAATATCACAGTGGAATTTAGAAAGTGATGTTTACCCATGTCAGCTGAACAAAAGCACTCAGAAATGTCTATCCCGACGTTCAATGAAGTCAGTGGTAAAAAAAATCCCACAAAGTACCTTCTATAAGATATATATAATTCATTTTAGTGATGAATTTATGGATGTCAGAAAGTTTGGATAAACTCAGACATATAATCTATCCAATAAGCAGCTGATCCATGATAAGTACAGGCCTCAGGAGAGGAAATTACAGAGTGTTTCCCGTGTTAACAAATGAGTGATGTTATCTTTCCTTTTCAATTTCTTCAATTATTTTTATTTACTTTTGACAATCGAATTAATCAAAGAAAATTGCCTCTTAAATTTGCTTTTTAGCCTGCTATTCACTGATGATATTAAAAAGAAACTAAGCATATTAACTGCAGCATTCAATTTTCAGAATTAGGAGTATTAGTGTGTTGGTTTGGTTTTGATCAAAGCTGTGCTGTAGTGAGGGCCAGGCTGCTGTTTCTCATGTATTCCTTGTCCTCTGAGGACTGAAAGTGCTGTGGCAACTTTATAAAGAGGCTTTAGAGTTCTTGTCTGTATCTACACATAAAAAAATGCATCAGTGTGTGTTCTTTTATTCCCCCTTTTCCATGCTAGGCTTGGACAGAACTGCAGGAATTTGACCATCCCTATCCCAGCTCCATCTTTGCAACTCCTCTGCCTGCCCCTGCCTTTTCCTGTGGGCTTTCATACTGTGAGGTTTAATTGTTCCTGATTATTCAGGTAACTGTTCAGATAATTCAGGCAGCCTGACAAAAAAAACCAAAAAACCACAAAAAAACCAGCAATTTGGATTGCTTTCATCTCTCTCTTGAGAGGTCTTAAAGGACTGTTCAGAATAATGGGTCAAATCTCAGAAGATAATTAATGAGGCAGATATTGACCCAGTTCAGAGAAAAACAAACAAACAAAAAAAGAACTCAAAGAAACCATCCAAAAGAGAACATTTGCCTGTACACCAGTCCTTATACCAACTATTAAATAATCCTTCACCCAGGTTAAATATTAAATTGGTGTCTAGTAAGGTCATCAAGAATGGACAGCAGCATCTCCATTTTAGGGGTATAAAAAAGTCCATACATCTGGAGTGCTTTGGTAGATTGGAGGTATAAAACAGTAAAAAGAGAAAAAAACTTATTGCTTGAAGATTAGTTTCTACATTATATTAAAGAAAAACACCATCAGTATCATGTCTCAAATTTTTAATTGGTTAAGAAGTAGTATTGATTTATTGGGGAGTGTGTGGTCTGTGTGTGATGTGTACAGGCAGGCAGAGAGGGAGAGGTGTTTTTGCAATGATGCCTGGCAGATATGAAAAATAAACCTCTTAAAAGCCACACAGGGCATAATTTTCATTTAAATAATTGGTTCTGAGACTGGCACTCTGGAGAAGTATCTGTTTCATCCAGCTCTCCATGATCTGATTGTGTGATCATAAATCAGCCTTCCCGTCATCACCTGTTTCCCAGATAACAAGTGCTTAGAAAAAGATCTATCTTTTCCTGGAAATACTTTCATTTAAATGATTCATAGGATCATGTTTATTATAAGGAAATGTTTACGTGAATTTGTGCACTTCATTTTGATTCCCAGACTTTCATTTGGATTCAGAATGAAAATAAATATTGGAAGGAGTCGTGGAGGAGATGTTCCATTTTCTGGCTAGCCCTGGGGTGGCCATCAATTATTCACAGAAACTCTTTAGAACTTTTGGTAAATTTTTCTTACAAGACTGCAAATTGGATGAAGATATCTGTAGTAAACAGAAGTGGAAAGCAGATGTTATATGTTGCATGATTTGCCCAGGAATGACACAAGAATGAGCTGCAAACTGAGCAGCCACAGACTGAGGTGACACATGACATGCCCTCAGCTCAGAGATGATATTTTGTTCTTCAAAGTGCCCTGTTATTATCCAGCAAACTCTCTTCTCACTTATTCAAATGGATCCTTGGACTGTGTCTTTTCAAAATGGGGTCAAATATACAGAAAGACACAAATCAAATAGAGAAAAAGAAATATAATTTTTTTTTCTCGTAGTCTGACTTGTTTCGTTGTCCTGATAACATCACAGTTCTTCAAATTAAATTGCCACAATGAGCACCCCAAGGGAGATTTAAAGGCATTTAGGCTCTTTACTCCTACTGAGTTAGCCACCTGAATATCCTAAAAAACTGACCCCTCTCTTCAAAAAAGAGCTTTATTAACCTCTAAATGCAACATGTAAATTGCCTCTACAACCTCTTCCTTTTTTACTGTCTGCTTTTGCATAATGTAACAGCAGGGATTTGAGGCTCCTGCTGTGCTCTGTTTCTGCTGGGCAGCCCATATATGTACAGAGCAGTGATAAAGCTTTTTCTTTCCTCGTGTGAGACAAGACCATTTAGACAAACCATTTAAACATCAGCTGCCTGTCTTGGGAGGGGAAAAGTCCTTACAGTGTTGAACAACTACCTACTCAGGTTTTTCTTTCCATCCTCTAAAAGCAACTAGGATGTATCAAGGAAAAGATTTGAGAGAAAGAGAGTTAATAGCCATTTTGTCACAAAATCATGTTAAAAACGTAATGATGTTTACCAAAAAAAAAAGGTTTATTTTAACTTCAACAGTTTGAAATAAACTGTGTGCAAGTAAGAGACCCTTTGGTTTTGAGGAGCCTTTCTTGTCTCTCAAAATTAACGAATTGCTGCCAATAAAGACTAAAACACAGCAATCAGAAGGCATTTCATATTCTATATCAGGCTATTTCCAAAGTCCACTGGAGTCAGTGGGGAGCTGCTACCCTTCTTCAGTGGGCAATATTTTACATTTGAGGGGAGAGCATCTAAATGGGACCAACTGAAACCCTTCCCTGCCCCTCCCTTCTTGCTTTATTGAGGCCACTTGAGCTGAACCTGAAACAGTTTTGTCTCCACTGAAGCAGGCTGGAGAGTGATGATGCATGAATTACTTCTGAGAGGTAATTAGTCTGGTTTTAAGTGTTCTCTGCCCATTTGCAAGCATCCTTTTGGTGGATTCTGTCCCCCTCTCCCCATCTTGCACCCAGCTCGTTCTCAGGTGGCAGCTCTTATCTCCAGCCCAGTTCTGAGACACAGTTGTGCTAAGGTGAATTAAATCAGTGTATTTTCCACTAATGGTGATTTCAGCTCGAGTGACTGTGTCAGCTGGTACAAAAAATGTAATTACTTGCTTGGGTATCATTTACATCAGCTATCCCATATTTTAGGGAAATGGGAAATAAATGTTCATGGTTAGTCTCCCGTGGTTCCCACTGTATTTTCCTGCAGCACAACCAGGTGAACAGCAGGTGTATTATGCAGAGCAGCGTCTACCAGAATAAAGCCATAATTGAAATGGACATTGATGTCACTGAACAATTTATCTTCCTTAAAAGGGTTTTGCTTTACAAAAGAAGCTAATTTAGTCTGGGAAATTAAATTGATGGCCATGTGGGAACATTTGTCTAATTCACTTAGAGTTGTATCATTAGCCATGATTGTTTGATCAATATTTACAAAACAGTGGAATTTACTCAGTTGACAGATGTCAGAGTTCTGCTCCTCATTACTGAAAGTAGATTCTTTGTGGGCAACCTGCAACAACATCCACCTCCTTAGAGACTCAAAATGCTAATATGGTATTAATAATGGATTTTTAAATACGTGATACAGCCCTCTACAGCCTTTCAGGAGGCAGCTAAAACCAGGGAAAACTCTTCCTAAATCCATAATATTAATATGTACCAGAAGTTTTGTACAGAAGTTTTTTACAGCGTTGTGTAAAACCTGGAGGATGCCAAAGCTGCTAAATCTAACAGCTAAAAAAAAATAATTACTTGTATTCTCAAGTTATATGTGGATACTGGCAAAGAGAGTTCTTCGGGGAAGGAGATTCTCAGCAATTACATGCATACTGTCAGGAATGTCTATTCTCCCTTGTTAATTGTTCCATATTATCAATCTTTTATCAGGTTCATTCTACCTGTGGAACTGAACCCCTGAGAAATGTATTTTAGACCAGTATGAAGAATTTCCTACACGTTCATATGTAAGTAATGCAGAAAATACTTTTCTCTGCATCTTCAGGACTTTCATTCATTTCATTAAAGCTTTCCTTCATTCCTATAATTTATATTGTCATGTGTTCAGCTGTGAATCATGACTATAAATCACTTCAAATGGCTTATCCCATCTCAGTTCAGCACTGTCCTATTTTGGGGAGATTTTTTTTTATCAAGTGGTGAAAACTATGTCTCTTCCTCGCTTCTCAAACTACATTAACTTCACTCCTCTTTTTAGCACAGTTTTTGGAAGTTCTTTGTAAGATTTGTCACCATCAACACTTTGGAGTCTGGCTGCTGCAAAGAGGTGTGTACACTGTACATTGAGAGTGAATCAAAATCACACATTTTGTGAAATTATAGAAAGGAATTTGAAATACTGCCTCCTAAAAATGTCTGTGTTCATGGTGGAATCTGACCTGCAAAAATCGGTACCTAGATCTGGATTTGGATGTGGAAATTCAGAGGAAGGAGCTTTGTTCAGTTCTGTTCCAGACAGGAAAGCTGTCTCTGTCTCTCTTGGTAAAAATGGGTGTTGTTCCACTGAAGCCTTTAGAACACAGTTGATTTTGGGGCAGGATATTTCTGTTTACCAAACAATATAAGAGAAGAGAGAGCCCTGTTTAAACAACATGGGTTTCTATTTCTGTGAATCCTCACTATTTTCATTGCTTCCATATTTTTTTAACTTTCATGCCTGGGGCTCAGATATCATTGAATTATCCTGGGGATAAAACTGGAAAAGTTTATGGAAAAGATTCATGATTTGCCCTGGCTACCCTATATTTTCATCCTTTATTGATTCTTAGAAATTTTGATACCTCCTTTCTCTTCTCCCTCCCTGCCCCTTTCTCTTTTAATAATGGATTTTCTTCTAGTAAGCTTTTCTGCGTCTTGACCTGGTGTGAAAAAAAAAGTGCAGTTACATCTTAATGAGAGGCAACACAGGAGTAACTTCCTCCATTTTCTTTTTTCCCCTCACTTGACTTGCCTTCTGCAGTTAAAATAATATATTTTCCACTCACATAATTTTATGTTCTTCTTAAACCAACATGCATAAATACATAAAACACAAGTAGCTTGGCTGGCCCTCACTGACATTTAAAACCAGAAGCGTGACTACATTAGGTAAAATATGTCTTTCCTTTCGCTGCATTTTTCGTTTTATTGCTTTTCTCACACTGTAAATATATTTTTTGACGTATATACTAATTAATTAACCAAATATTTTGATGCTTTGAGATGCCCAGCTGTCAAAAAGGTAGAGTGCATCCATGCCTCCTGTAAGGAGTCAGAGATTTAGGCAAGGTGCAGGTCTGGTCTGGGGGGACAGATTGTAACCTATTTGAGTCTAAGGTAGGATATATCATGTCACAAGGGTGATTCTCTGATTCTCTTGGGTAAGAAGCCAGTCCCAGCTGAAAATCTAATATTTCATATTCTTTCTCTTAAGTAATGTCTTGGGTTGGTAGGTATGTAAGAATGGAAATGGCTTGTGCAGTCCTATACTGCAACTCCATTTCTTTAGATTCTTCTCATGAAGAATCAGCTCTAGGATTTCCATTGCCACGTGCTTGAACTTGTGCCTTTGATTAAAACCATCAAATTGGTGCTTTTGAGAAGTGTGATTTCTTTGATTTCCTTCTGTTCTCTTTGGTCCTGGCTTGGCAGCAGGAAAACAGAGTCAAACACGGTGACAGATTTGACAGCTGACCCATTGCTCTCCAAGAAAATGATACTGTGATGGACCTCCTCTAATAAGAATTCAGGAGGTATTAATGTCACTTTCAATCTAACAAATGTTTGACCTTTATTATGGTCTTACAGAAATGATAGCTGCTCATACTCACTCTTCAATTTTAAATGCATGCTGAAAAATGTTTAAATGTGGAAAGCCCACTGATTCAAGGCAAGTTCAAGAAATTGCTTCTGACTTCAGGCATTTTAATTAATTTATGAATAACAGGATAAGCTGGCTCATGTTGAAGGTGCCAGTCTTAGGATCTAAAAAAAAAAAAATCCATAAAGCTACATATAAGGCTTTCTCTTCTTTAGGAAGCTCTGTTTTATGATTCTGCAGATTTTCATAGGTGTACTTTCATTCCAGATTCTGGGCAGAAAGCCAGAAGTTTAATCCCATTTTATAAGTGATTGGGGCCAAATTCTATTCCCAGAAAATTAAAATGAGAGTTCTGTGATGGAGTTCAAAAGAATTGGGAATTGACCTCTATCTAATATCTTTCAGATTAATTTATTAAAACTGTTTCACTTTTTCCGCTATTGCCCATGCAAATTGGTGCACTGGGTTTCAGACTCGGGCAAAAGGGAAAAGCAGCTAAATAATGATTGAAATTCCAGTTATGTTTTCTTTATGCTTTATTCATATTGCTCCTAAAAGCAACTCAATGCACAATTTCGTGACATTATAGAAAAATGTTGCAGAAAGGACCACATGTGCTGAATAAAAAAAACCAGCCTGAAAAACATGATGCCCCAATCTCAATAAGTCAACATATAAAATTAGATCCAAACAAACCCCAGAGGACCAGGAGGGAGTTTAAACTTACTTTTCTGTAGAACAGAAAACTACATTCTGCAGTGCAGGATTTTGTAGGAGGAATGTCTAAAGGACGGGGAGAGTTTAATATTAAATAGCAATTTTTATAATACATTGCACGGGTGATTAATCCTCCCCTGTGCAATTCCACCTTGCTTTCCTGGTTAAACTCTCCTCGAGCAAGTTCTTAAGCTTATTAGAACTTGCTGCTTTATTGAGCTTCTGTGATAAAGTGTTTCATGCATTTACCTTTTTGTCTGGAAGCCTCTCTATGGTAATATATAGTTGGTCTATCCCAGCAGCTTTGCCTGTGACACTCTCTTGAAAACCTCATTGATGCTTGTCGTTCATACTTAGCAGGTAGCAGGTCTTTAACAAGTTCCAATTGGATGTAAAAGTATGGATTAAATTAATGCACAATCAATATTGTTAATAATGAATGGTTCCTTTAATGAACAGGCGACGCTCTTTCTTTCCGATTGGGATTTTCAAAGTTGTTTTGAGGGATTAACATATTAAATTTCAGCCAGTGCTTTTAAGATAATGGGGCACCTTCCTTCCCTGTGTACACATCATAAATCCTGCCTGAGTTTTGTCCCTTAGCTTTGCTTGCAAGGAAGAGGGATGGGTTGTTCCAAGCTTTTCTTCGTTGTTTTGGAGAATTGCCAACCTTAAGTCAATTAAATGGTATTAGCTGCTTTAGCTGTCTCGGCTTGTCAGTTAAAGAGAAGGAAGAGACCACATGGTTTAGGAAGAAAGCAGAATTTCAATCACAGCATTTTCTAAATAATTCTTTTAGAAAGCCTGTGTCAAGGAATAAAGATTTCAAGCTTCTTTGGGAAAAAGGATGGACTTTGTGACTTGATGGCACTTCCAGGCTTATTTTCCACCATATGTTATTATTATATTTTATAATATTGTATTTCAATTTCTACATAAAATACATTAATGTAAATGCAGTCGCTTCCACAGTCAAAATCTGGGGAAAAAGCTGACACTGGAGAGTGAACTGATTTCTGAGACAGATGAAAATGCTGTGGGATGGCACTCTCCATCTCTGTTCTTTGACTACAGAGGATTAGTTAGATGAGAAAAATCCACTTCTAGTGGCCTTGCATCCTTCAAGTACACCAATAACCATCCTCAGTCTTGATGGTAATACTTAAGATGGAAATGTGCCCAATTGTGGGGCTTATGGAAGAAATTCTGGTGTCTAATTCAATTATTTATTGAAGTTTTTAGAGAGGGAGTTATGACTTAACAGCCACAGAGAAACTAAACAACATAGATTAGCGGGGTTTTTGAATTGCAATTTATAGGGAAGTCAAGGAGAAAAAAAATTAATTTTTGAGAACTGACCCTTTTCATCCCGAGTTTTTTTCCTGGTCTTGACAATATTAGTGTACTAATAGAATATAGTGATGTTATTGTTTTGGTTTCTGTCACTTGGGGCACCAACCGTGTGTAAAACAGAGATGTTCTACTTCAGGATTATTCCAGGATTCATCTTAATGATTACATTCCTTAAATCAGAATGTGCTGATTTATGACAGTGCCACATATCATTTAATTGAGTTCATACCATCCTTATTTACCCTCCTGTGTTAATTTACAGCTCAGCTCTCCACTCCTGCAGTGTTTCTGCAGCCTTCGTTCTGAAAGGTTGATTGGGAGGTTTTTTTAGTTTCTCGGCTGTGGGAACATACATGTGTTCTGCAAGTTTACATTCAAAGAGGCATCTCTGTTCAAGGATGGGGATTTCTGGTGAAAACCAGAGGGATCTGTGCAAAACTGGTAGAAAGTTGGAGGGTGATGTGGAGAGCCCCTGCTTGAGGAAGCCGGTCTGCATCCGAGACAGCACAACCTTAAACCCTGAGCTCTCATTTCTCAGACTGGCTTTTCCTTCTGTCTCCCCTTTCATCTCCACAGTCACAAAAACCTTTGAAAGACCTTGGCTTTGCTGTAATGTGCAAAGCAGAGCTTTTTAAAAACCTTCTTTTCGTGCAAATGGAACCGCACGCCAATTAACTTCGCTCTTGCCAAATAACGAGGCTCTTGCTGAAGGCTGAGGGAGGGTCCTGGTCAGGGATGAGACATTATAATTGGGCCCATGGTGAGGAACTGGATGCTCAACTTCAAGCATTTGCTCGTGTCCCCACTGAAGTTGGTAGTACCACTAATATGACTCTTTAATCACCCTTAATTGCTTTGCTGAATCACATTTTTAGGTGCGCAGAATAATTGAAGGTAATAAATTTGACCTATTCCAACCTTGGCAAAAGGTTTTGGGCACTACACTGGAAAATACATTGAGGAATAAAGGGGAGGTGGGGGGAATAAATTTTGAGGAAGTTTTCTGTCTGTTTTGACTCATCTGCCTGTAGCCATGGGAAGATTCTATTTACACCCTCAAGTAATTCTGTGTGAGTT